TACCTGCAGCAGGTGGTTTTCATTTTGAATTGTTCAGGGATGTTTGGGCCAGCCTTGTTTTTTGTTTTTTGGTTTTTTTTTCGAAGAGAAATTTAACATTATCCTTTTCAATTTCTCTATGGAGAATTGTGTTGGGATTGATAGGAACTGTGTTGAATCTGTAAGATTGCTTTCTGTAGGGTGGCCATTTTCACAGCCTCACTCCTACAAAGAGTGTAGTGTATAGTGTAGCAGGAGACAGCGCTCAGCACAGAGACCACAAACTGTCAAACTGTAGAGAAGAGACCATGGAGCACTAAGTTCTACATGACATCTGTCACTCCTCCAGCCCCTGCCCAAGACTCAGGGACTGCTGTGGAAGAGGGGTTGGAGAGATGTAGGGCCCAGAGACAGCGGCTGACTGACTGCCTAAAGGAAACAGCATTCTCTAAACAGAGCAGGCTGCTTAGACAGAGGAGCCCACAGTGGCGGTGCCAGCATGCACGAGACCTGCTCAAGCTCCAATCAATAAATTCTTAGCGTGAAGAGGGAAGCATGAAGTCCGAGCTCAAGCTGATGAACCATTGGCAAAGAGAGCTACCAGGATGAGGAGAATCAGTTTTCTTAAGGGGTGTGGCCTCCAGTAGGCCAACCATGTCTTAGTAGAAAGCTACTCTACCGAATACATTGGCATGGAACAGCTTGGGCCCAAAGTTGGGTGGGTAGGAAAGCGAGTGAATCTGGGAAGTTTGAGGAGGGGGTTGACTATGATCAAAATACATTGTATGAAATTCTCAAAGAACTGGAAAAAAAAACCCAGAAAAACATCAATAAAATCAAGAGGCATTTTTTTTTTAAATCTACTAAATTAAAGACCTCTTAGATTCTACCATGGAAGGAAATCAATCAATAGGTACACTGGAAATGGCATTCTGCTCATAATGCTGTCAAGTGGTTTGAAAAGGACCAACTTTGCATATTCAAGATTAAAATCAAAAAGCTCAGCTGAAAGGAAACATCTAGAAAAACTCCAAATGATTAAGGAAATTGCATTCCAAGTTAAAGGTCTTTCTCCAAGGAAAATTACAGGTAAAAGTGGGTTTTATTGGTGAATTCGACCAACATTTAAGAAATACATAAAACATGTTTTATCCAATTTGTCTACAAAGTAAAGAAAGGAGTGGCTATCCTTATATAGCGACGGAATCAGCGTGATGGTCAAGGTCAAACATGGTAAAGGCTTTGCTAGAAGAAAAGGCAGAGTGGAAGCAGTTCTATGAGGATAGGTGGATGCACCTGCAGATTACAGCAAGCAGCTCCCAGCAACATGTAAAGAGGAGACCACATGGCAACCATGCAGGGCTTACCCAGAGAGAGTAGACTAGTTCATAGCTTTTAAATCAACACATAATTAATCATCCAAAAATATAAGATGTAGGAAACCATGTGACATATTTATAATAAATGTCAGAAAATGAGAACTAAAAGATAATTCTTCAACCCAATAAAAGGTTTTCTCTTTAAACTTCATAGGTGACAAACATCCTCACTAACGGTAAAGGGCTGAAAGTGCCCTTAAGTTTGTTCTGTAGATCCATGTAGAATTCAGCAATCTACAACAAAGTGCCCAAGACTCATAATAAATTTAGCAAGGTTGCTGAGCTGAGTTTTATTATATCAAAATCAATGGTCTTTCTACACGCCAATAACAAACAATTAAATTTTAATTTACTTAAAGGAACATTAATAATTGTACCCCTAAAAGGAAACAATTAGGTACAAATCTAATAAAATACTTTTACTACTGTGTATTGAGCTCTATCAAATGTTGATGAGATAAATGTATCAAGCACAAAAGCAATTTATTGTGCCTAATACATGAAAGATTAGATACTATTGAGACACAAATTCTGCTCCAAGTGACTCACAGAGTCAATGCAGTCCTAATTAAAACCACAGAGAATTTTGTAGATATTAATAAACTGTTTCCAAAATCTATATGGAAAAGTAAGGGAAAAGAAAAGCCAAAACAAGCTTTAGGAAGCTGAAACAGAAGACCAGGCTGTATGTTTTCACAGGGCACTATGCATCTGGAACAATCAGCAGTACACCGTGCTGGGGATCTGGCAGGCATATTGGTAAATTCAGCAGAAAATTCAAAAGTGCCCCCTAAAGTATGTTTATATACACTTTTCACGGCATCCTTACATTTTCAGTAGAAAAAAATAGTCACTGCAATAAATCGAGTTGGAACTACGAAATACTTATTATAAAACAACACGAAATAAAACTAACACGAACTTGTCCCACCCATCAGTTTAATTAGCATGGTCATAAATTCAAAATATAATCAGACAAATGTTCTAGAAGAAGAAGAATAGGAGGAATATAATACTTATTTTAGGAGATTTTTTTTCCTTCCCATCTCTAGTCAAGATCTCACATAGCCTAAGATGGTCTTGAATTCCTATGTAGTAGAGAAGCAACTCCTAAGCTTAGGTAAAGTGGAGTTCTTGTGTTTAATACCAAGTGTACAAGCCAAATCCACTGAAATGCAAGTCTTCTGTTCTGTATAAGACACAACCAAACTGACAAGAACAGATACTACACTTGATCTTAACCAAAAGTCCAAGAAGCAATGGCTGCTCTTCCAGAGGTCCTGAGTTCAATTCTCAGCAACCACATGGTGGTTCGCAACTATCTATAACAAGATCTGGTGCCTTCTCCTGGTGTGCAGGCATACCTGCAGGCAGAACACTATATACATAATAAATAAATCTTCTTTTTTTGAGTGATGAGAGAACTTATTTATTTATTTATTTATTTATTTATTTGATTTTCAATCAACAGAGTTTATTTTCCAGCAGATGATTTGTGGATAAATATGCTCACTTTTGAAAAGAGGAGTAAAAAGTACTCTGAAGTGTATTTTGTGGAAACCCTCTTTTGTGGAGTTCTTTTTTTTCCATTAAAAAATTTATACTTCCTCCCCTCCTCCCATTCCCCTCCTAGCTCTCAGCTTCCCATTCCCCCTTCTCCCTCCCCCTCCCTGCTTGAGAGAGGGCAGGGAACCCTGCCCTGTGGGAAGTCCAAGGCCCTCCACCCTACATCCAGGCCTAGAAAGCTGTGCATCCAAATAGACAAGGGTCCCCCAAAGCCAGTGCATGCAGTAAAAACAAGTCCCAGTGCCTTTATCAATGGCTTCTCAGTCATCCCCCATTGTCAGCCACCATCAGAGAGTCCGGTTTGATAGCATGCTCCTTCAGTCCCGGTCCAGCTGTATTTGGTGAGCTCCCATTAGAACAGGCATACTGCCTCAATGGGTGGACCAACCCCTTGTGGTCCTGACTACCTTGCTCATCTTCTCCCTTTTTCTGTTCTTCAACTGGACCTTGGGAGCTCAGTTCTTGTTCTGATGCGGGTCTCTGTCTAAAGGAACTTCTGGAGGCATTACCATCCCTGATTTCAAACTCTATTACAGAGCTACAGTAATGAAAACAGCTTGGTATTGGCATAAAAAACAGAGACGTCGACCAATGGAATCGAATTAAAGACCCGGATATTAACCCACAAACCTATGAACACCTCATTTTTGACAAAGGAAGTAAAAATATACAATAGAAGAAAGAGAACATCTTCAACAAATGATGCTGGCATAACTGGATGTCAACCTGTAGAAGAATGAAAATAGATCCATATCTATCACCATGCATAAAACTGAAGTCCAACTGGATTAAATACCTCAATATAAATCCGACCACACTGAACCTGATAGAAGAGGAAGTGGGAAGTAGTCTGCAACACATGGGCACAGGAGACCACCTCCTATGTATCACCCCAGTAGCACAGACAATAAGAGCAACATTGAATAAATGGGACCTCCTGAAACTGAGAAGCTTCTGTAAAGCAAAGGACACTGTCATTAAGACAGGAAGGCATCCTACTGAATGGGAAAAGATCTTCACCAACCCTACATCAGACAAAGGCCTGATCTCCAAAATATATAAAGAACTCAAGAAACTAGACATTAAAGTTCTAATTAACCCAATTAAAAATGGGTTACTGAACTGAACAGAGAATTCTCAACAGAAGAAGTTCAAATAGCCAAAGGACACTTAAGGTCATGTCCAACCTCCTTAGTGATCAGGGAAATGCAAATCAAAACAACTTTGAGATACCATCTTACACCTGTCAGAATGGCTAAAATCAAAAACACCAATGATAGCCTATAAATAAATCTGACATTAAGCTTTATTACTGCTAACACTGGGTTATTATTACTATTTTTGAGTGTTTTCCTTGTGCAGAGGCCATGCTAATAGTCTCTGTATCATTACAATTCTAATATATATGCTGCCAAAGCAAGCACTTATTCTAACTTTTAGTTTATTTGTTGATAAAGAGCCTTATTATGTTGCCCTTGCTCTCCTGAAATTTGCTTTGCAGACCAGGTTGGCCTTGAATTTATAGAGCCATGTCTCCAGCCCCAAATCTGAATTATTAAAGGCCTCACTTTCAACCTCTGGTAATTTCTGAGCAAGGAAAGGGTAAAGAAAGGGATTCTATTAAAACTCTGATAAAATTGTTAGCAGCTATCCAAATACTGTTTGCTCTATTTATCTGAGACCTATTTTTAGCTTTAGGGCAATCTGAGATAGAGAAATCAAATATTTTCAAAGAGATTCAGTTATAAAGTGGTCATTCTAGTTAAAATCAGAATTTTGCTTCACAAAAGAATGCACTAAAGGACACATTCAAATAAAGAGGCCCTCTCGCATTCAAATTCTTACATTCAGATATCTGTTAATAGATGACTAGGCAAGAGATATGGAATCAGGAAATCAGGTTTTAATGCTTCTGGTATGCAGGTAGATTACCCGAGAAATATAAGAAATTTGATATGCATCCATACTTACAGCAGCCTTTAAGTGAGATTGTCATGGCTAAACTGATTTCTTTGATATTTGCTTCCATTTCTTATGATCAAAGTTGTTTAGATTGACTGATAAAAAGCTGGGTACCTTGAAGTAATATCATAGATTATAGGTATTGAAATGTCACTTGGAGTATCTTCCGCAGTGCTGACTTGGGTTCCATTGCTTTTCGTGCAGGCATCTTTTGTACAGACTTCCACCTGCAAAGATTAGTTTGGAAAGGAATAAATATAATCATCTTCAAAACAGACCGGCAACAGACTGAATCCACCTTCCCCTTCTTCATATGAATCTCTTCAAGTCTGCTATAGCCTCAAGGGGCTTAGGAAATATTCTTCTTTTTGATTTGAATTGAATCCAGTGGGATGAACTCAGAACAGAATACAGAATTGGGCTCAGGACTCAGGACAATTGATTTAGTGATTAACATGGCGATGTTTGGTCTCCAGTTCTGACCATTCACAAAGAGAAGGGCTTATTAATCTATTCAGAGTAGTCAAAGGATGGAGGTGCTTAGGTGGTGATTCACAAGCCTAATAGGTTATCCTTGCATAGCGCTCTCCAGATCTATAACCATGTGCTGTAATGATGATATCTCCTGGAAGTCTTGACACTTTGCAACAAATCGCCCAAATGCTAATGTCTAATGGGAGAAAAATGAAGCCCAGGAAAGCCTCCCAATAGGGCCGAGCTATTTTATATCCATTTGTTCCAGCAGCAATAGTATTGTCCCCTTAATCAAGCAGGCGATCATCACTCCTCCCTTTAATTCTGCCACCTAGTTAGAATAAAAACTGAGAGGGTGGAAGAATTTAGGATTGGAAATGGGACCCATCAAACACCAGTAACCCAAAGGAGTGTATCCGCTGGCTGGGAGGAGAGCAGCGGATACACAGGAGATATCTGGTGGACCAGCCACCACACATAGCATTTAAGGGTAAACTCGGCTGTATTTCTTTTTATAAAAGATTTATTTTAAAAATGTGTGTGTGTCATCAGAAGTGTTTCATGTGCTTGCTGGTGCCCGTGGATGTGAGGAGGGGTGTCAGATCCCCGGAATTGGAGTTCTGTGTGGGTGTGAGCCACCTGATGTGAGAACTGGGAATGAGATCTCAGTCCTCTGAAAGAGCAGCAAGTGTTCTTAACCACAGAGCCCTCTCTCCGGCCCCTAAACTATACCCTTTCTTGTGCTAATTGACATTCAATGTCTTAGACACCAAGGTAAGAGAATGTATTCTGGTGCTGCGGTTTTAAGCCAAACCATCCTCCAAGTCTTTGCATCAGAACTTGGAGCCAGATAGATGAGATCCACACTGCAGTTTGGAGACATCATCTTGTTCCAGAACTGTTGGGTCTAAACAGGAACTGAACAGGTTTTCTACAGTGTACCATCATGTTATTGAAAATTGCAATGGTGCCTTTTGTGATAACATCTTATAGACTTAAACGTTATTAAGATCCTCCACTATGATTAAGTACAAACAAGAAATATCTTTAAGATAGATTATCTTAAAAATACGATGTGATAGAAATTATAATATAAATTTTACGCAAATTGGAAGGTGCCACGCTTTGGTACACATTGGGATTAACCTGAGTAACCCAACCAAATTCATTATGTCTTCATTATACACAATATATTCCTGATGGACTCTTGACCAAAGAACTTTTCACTGCCTTCTGGATGTCACAATCATAGTTCAGGTTTGTAGGGTGAGTGATGCATTTTGACAGGTGATTACGTGTCATGTGTTACAGCACACAATAAACAGTCGGTGGAGGGAATGGTGCTGCCTCCTAGCTTCTTCTTGTTTGGAGCTTGAGTTCATCCCTTATAGCTAACAATAAAGTAGAATATTGTGGATTTAGCCCCTACTCTGCTTAACAACACCAGAACTCACTGCTCCTCAGTTTGGGCACCTGTTACCCAGGTTCTCTCTATTCCCAACTGCCATTATGTCTGACCTCTAGTAAAATCCATTCTGTGTTCACATTCATTATTCTTTAGCTTGAACACGTGAGGAGTCCTCAGACCTACATTTTAGCAAGTCTGAAAAGAAGGAGGCAGAGAAACCAGGAGACCCGGAAGGTAGTCAGATGGTCTAATATTTGTTTGGGACTTTCCTGCATCCTACTGCTTTCTCAGCTAAATATTCCATTTAAATGGAAGGACAAAGCTACTTGGGTCTATTTGTGTTTCTCCAAAATACTTTGTTGAAGTTGGGAAAGCACAGCACTGTGTTTCGTTCTTTCTGATTTACATTCCCAGGCTCTACCCCGAGTCTCTCTCTACTATAACATGTGAATGAAATCTACATATTGGGGTTTAACATGTTTACCTGAAAAGAACTTAAAAATCAAGTCTTAAAATTAAAGTTATGATTCCCTTCTAAATGGTAACATAAAAGAATTTATCCAGTGAGATACCTGGGTATTTGATCAGCTTTAAAGTCAATTGTTGTTTTGTGGAAGAGGTTAACCTAGAGAAGTTTCATTCAAATATTAGGTACATCTGTTTAATGTTGACTTAAATGACGTTTGACTTCATAAAAAAGGCACTAAAATTTAACTTTCAAATTTCCAGCCACGCATAAATATGCCAACTGTGATAATACTAGACTAAAAAACAAAAATCCACAGTGTAGACAGTAAGGAAAAACACTCAAATTTTGGGTTCAGTTTTGACATTCTGTCTTTGTTTCAAAGACATAAGTCTGGTTGAAATGTGTTTTCTTCTGGCTACAACAGAACCAATCCATCAGGGCGAGCGAGGGTTTCCACATTACGAAAAGGGCATGCAATAGGCAAAGACAATGTGATAGCTTTGTCTTGTTCTACAGGCCAAGACTGAGCTGCACATGCGTGTGCAGCCTCAGCGTTCTCATCGCCAGCCTGCACTCTGCAAGTCAGCTTTGCTGCTACATATGTATATAGGAATGCATGAATTCACTTATTTTTTGGTGTGTGTGTGTGTGTGTGTGTGTGTGTGTATGAAGGCCAGAAGAGGGTATTAAGATCTTCATGTTCTGGCTTTGTGGGAGCCTAGCCAGTTTGGATGTTCACTTTCCTAAACATGGACGGAGGGGGGAGGACCTTGGACTTTCCACAGGGCAGGGAACCCTGACTGCTCTTTGGACTGGAGAGGGAGGGGGAGAGGAGTGGGGGGAGGGGGAGAAGGGTGGGAGGAGGGGGAGGGAAATGGGAGGCTGGGAGGAGGGGGAAACTTTTTTTTTCCTTTTCTCAATAAAAAAAATAAAATAAAAAAAAATACTTGGAAGTATTCCACTTTAAAAAAAAAGATCTCTTAGAGTTGGCATTTAAGACATTTTTTAAGAAACATGGATGGATCTGCGGGTGTTAAAACCCAACAGGGGTCCTCAGGAGAGCACAACAAGCAGTCTTAACCACTGAGCTACCTTGCCAGCTCCAGCCTTTCAGATTTTAAATGCAAATGATCAGGCTTCACTCTAGAACTCAGTCTTATCCTCCAACAAGGGCCCAAAGAAGACCTCACGCCAAAGCCTCCATTGCTGCCCTGAGCTCTTCTGCTCACAAAAGCTGTAACAGGGCTGACCTGAGGCCTGACTTCTCTATGTGGTCCACTTATCAGCGTGGGCTCTTCTACGGCTTGAGAGTGCAAACGTCAGCCCACGCGTGCCATGCTAATACGCTCACATAGGTTGCTGGAACTGAAAACACAACCCACGGAGCTTTCTTTCTGTGTCTATTGTTTCCTTTTTCCCCTCTGTCTATTGTTGCTTATGAAGCCAAGTCCATGGGTCACAGTAGGGATGGCCAGAGTATTGTAGCCAAATAAACATGCTTCACTCTCAAACATGGGAAACGACATGTAACATGGGCAGACATAGCACTCCTGGCAAAACGTTTCTGGGGTCGAATAAAATTCCTGCATTTAATGCCTTTTGGAAATTATTCATGAAATGCTCATGAATTTTAGAAGTTGCATAGATTATTTAAAAATTTACTAAATTGCAGTCTTCTCTATAAATGCTGAGTTTCTGAAATCTTTTCTTCACTCATTTATTCCCTTGGCCTTGTTATCTCGTGTGTCTGACATTCACACAAGATTTTTCAGCTCCTGCAGGACATTAGATTTTATATACTCCTGGGCTCTGCTATTCCTCCTATTTCAGAGTCAGTAGACCTTGGTGAAGTCCAAAGGCTTGGCCTCAGATAAACAGTGAACTCTCTGAATTTTGTGATAAATTTGCCATGTCAGTGTATAAGTAAATATTCTTCTAGGGAAGGAGGCATGGACTTAGAAGGTTCCAGACTCCCAAGTACAAACGATTTGATTGCAGCCCTGCCACAGAGGTGAGGCTGAGGAGCGATTGCTGCGTGCTGAACAGACTCATTCCTTCCGTCCTCAGCTAAAATCCTGTGGAGTGTTTATAAAACTTTTTATGTTTTCCTGTTGCATTCAGAATCAGAAATGCTAGTGGGGGACAGAATATTTTACATTAACCATGCCTTGCCTTTACAAAAGGGACAGCTGACACCCAGTGAGCTATGCTACCTCCCCGAGTAAGTGGCAGAAAAAAACAAAGCAAGCAAACAAAACCAAGAGACAAATCTCTTCATCTACAAGTTAATTCTGATTTTGATACCAATAAAAGGTCAAGAAAGAAGATAAACTGGGAAGACTGGATTTTGGTGACCATTTGACCAACTTCACTTCGTTGGTGGGCATTTTATCCTCTCTCTCACCAGCACCGAGAACCATTCTCCAGGGATTCGAGTCTGCAAAGCCCTTGCAGCTGACGGTTTTCATTCTGGTCAATTTCCCTCTTCTCCCTTCCCTTTCCCATCAAATAAACAGTAATCTGTAACCAGGACAGAGAGCCTGCACACAGAGACATCGCTTAGCATGTTTTATTTAACATATCCATGAGCTTAACCATCCAAAAAAGAAAGAAACAAAACAACATTCTGACCTGAATGTCACAGATAGTGACGGGAGACAGGCCTTTCCGAATAAACAGCCCCGGCACATCCGCTCCAGGCTCGGAGAGCTTATTATTTACATAGACGGAAGACTCGGAGACACTGCCATTTGGGTTTGAAGAGGATGTCCAGATGACACGTACAGCTGTCCTGTTGATGATGACAACCTCTGGAGGAAGCATGCCCCGAGGCTCTAGAATTAAAGCAGGAGCCTGAATAAGCCCCAGCTGTCTCTGCAAAAGCTCCTGTTAAACTACATGCAGATTGGTACGGAGGCTCAGCAAAGAGATCCTTGCACATCTACTTTCCTATGATGAAGTTAGCACAGTCTGAAGTCCTCTGCAAATTGGCTTATTACGCTCCCAGTTAGAAACCGTAAGCATTGGTGGCAAAATGCTTCATACCACCAGCATAGCACTAATCTCCGATGCTATGTGGCCAGTGGGATATAAATGATAAATTGCTCACCCGTCTGTACCTCGAAACATAGATCTGTTATTTGCTGTTTTTTTCAACCTTTCACTTTAAGTCTTTAGGGGTAGGGGGAATTTCCTCCTTAAGCCAAATAAAATAAAATACAATTCAAATACACTAAGGCTACTGGGATGTGAAAAATCATTTGCTGTTACTAGCTTCTAACTCAAGCAATATGAAGCAATAGTGCAATATTGTCATTATGTAAATGATTTTGAGTGTTGATTACCATAGGTAATGATGAAATCTAACATTAGAAAAAATCTCACTTAGCATTAAATTACACAATTATTCAAGCATGTCAGAAATAACTATGCAAAGGCCTATTTTTATCATAAAAACTCATCGTAACTATTTGAAAAATCGTCCTTGTGGTTCATCCTATTTTATAAACAAAAGGTGCCGACCTTTGGCGTTACAAAGGGAAATGGGTTCCCTACTTAAAGAGTTCTGCTAATGGCCTGGAACACTTGCTTGGGAGGTAACGATATTATAATGTTTATAATGAGACCATAGAAAGCCAGAAAGATTAGAAAGACCATCCCAGGCTCATTTCCGACTCACAAGTTGATTCTCCAGCTTCCTCTCCTTTGCTAACTGGCTTAGAAACCCAGACATAGGCAATTCTTCTCTGAGGCTGAACTTGCACCTAGTGTTTTCTGGTGACTTGGGGTGGGCTCTTCCTGAGCTGGGATGTCATTTTGAAAAGCACACTGCTATTGAGGGCTAATCTTAGAGAAGAAAATCTCTCTAAATATCACCTTTTGCTGATGTGAACTGGCTCCCAATTAAACCTGCGCTGAAAGGAACAAGAGGAACAGGTCTGGTGGTCCAGTTACTACAGTTATTACAGCTCCACACTGCTGTTTCCAGGGGACAGGTTTATTTGTCTGTCAGTTGACACCAAGCAGGTAAGCATTTTGGTTTTTACCCACTTCCTTTAAGCTGGACAGATGATTGATCTCAGTTCCAGAACGGATCAATCAATGCCATTGGCATCACCAAGCTGAGAACCTCTTGGCATCTTTACTCACCCTCATTGCATGTGGCCCTGTGTACCACTGTGCTGTTGGTTCCACGGACTTCATTGAAGACCGAGAGGAAAATCTGACACTCCGTATTTGGAGCTAAGATGCCAATGACATGAGAATCAACATCTGGGAAGATTTTCAGGGATTTGTTCAAGGCCCCAGAATTCCAAAGCAGTATGTAATATTCCACATCACCTTGGAGATCTTGAAAAGCTGTTAATGAAAAATAAAACATTGTAAACATGGCAGGTGGGAAACAGAATAAATTCTCTTGCTAAATATTTCTAGAATAAAATAGAAGCAAGTGGATGGTAATTCAGCTTTATAAAAGGTTCTAGAATCTTCTTTTTGGTGAAACTGGTAGAGTTAGATTTTATTTTTAAAAAAATTTTATCTTTCGCTTCATTCCATAATCAAGAAGTCATGTTGAGAATATTTTAAACACTTTCTTTAAATATATACATGTATACGCACATATATGTTATTTATAATTATTCAAATAACCTTCCCAATATCAATATGACTATTTTCAAAGAAGGTGCGATGGAAAGTAACGCAGCATGGAGGACATTCATGACTTTTTTCAAGTACTCTTTTATGTTAACGTCTTGGGTTCATGCGTAAATAGCAAGTGTTAATTTTTATTATATTCCCCTAACCATGGTACTACTTTTGCTTGGTCTCCAGCAATATTTTAAAAGGTGGGTATGCCAGTGTGGTTGGAAGACTTTATTCCAGGAGGCTTGTTAATTAAGTTGGGAAACCCTGAAGATTGTGGTGATTTTTTTTCTCTAATGTCACCAACTGTGCTCATATGAAACTGGTCTAATCCAGTAAAACTGGGTGGATTGTCTGTGAGAAAGCTGCTTTTCTCACTGAGATATTCTTCACTGGCTTACGGGAATATCACTCACTAATTTGTGGCCCTTCCACAGCATGGAGGGCATTTTAGATGCCAAGTTTGCGTTACTTGATACCCAACTAATTTAAATTTCATTCAAAAGTTAAACCTTTACGACATTAAGTCCTTCCCAACTCTTATATGACAGTCTTCCTAGGAAGACACAACACATCCAATCTACTTGCCTAGAAAGGAAGCCCATGTAGACCAAACAATAAAGTACCAACTGTACCAAAGCCTGATTTGCTGAAGCAGTACTCTCTTCCTCTGGGCCACTAACAGGAGTCTGGGTGAGGGGTCACTGGTAAGGAGCAGAGGTAACCCAAAAGCAGTTGCATCTCTGGAACTCTTCCCTGTGATGGCTGAGGGACCCCAAATCTGGCAACCATGGGGGCTGTTCTCCCAGGCTCCAGGCAACTCCACTGTCTGGATATGTCTTTCCTTTCCCAGTTTGGCTGGCCCAGCATCTCCACACCCAGCAACTGCTTTCTTCTTCTGTATTATTGGAAGGGACCCTCCAGAATCTTCTAGTCACTCAGAACATGTGACCTTCTATTTCCTCCTGAGGCTGATGGGTTCCCCATTATTCCTAGAGGAAGGTTTCAGTTTGGAGGCAATGTTCAATTAGGTAGAACATTCCATCTAACACAAAGTTAAACAGATTTTAGTTGTTATAGATGCTTATTAGGAGCACACAAAGTTTTAAAGATTACATGTGTTGAAACTGACATTGTACATTCAAGGATAGCATGGATATTATGTCAAAGTCTGAAGAAAACCCCTTTACCTGTCCATTCCAAGCCTGGTTCCATTTGCCAGCCCACTTAATAGAATTACAAGCTACCCAGGGAATGAGGACAAAGGTTGTGGTTAGTCCTGCTACTGAAACCCTCTGTGAATGCTACTCTGGTCTTGTGACTAGACTAGAAACAGGTGGTGTAACTGGACAGTAAGGGTCACCTTTCTACCTCTGTCTTTTTCCAAGAGGGCAGCTATTGTAGTGTAGAATCCTAACAGTAGGATATGCTCCTTACTGGCCTTGCTGCTGAGATGGAACACCCGATGGAAATGGCCTGAGAGGATTTATTTTGATTTAGGCTCAGAGGATACAGTCCCTCACGGTGGAGAAGGCAGGAATACGCAGTGGAGCCTCTTCATTTGCTGTTTCATCAGGAAGCAGGCAATGGGGTGGGGTTGAAGACCGGACTGTAACCTCTAAAGCAGCTCTGCATGAGCCACTTATCCCAACTAGGCACTGTGACCCCAAAGTTCCAAAACCTCCAAAACTACACTGGAGGAAGATAAGCTCTACAAGGCTGAGAGATGAGCAAACATGGAGTCTGCCAGAAGGCCTAGGCATAGGCACTGTCAGAGGTCCTGATAGAGCCTAGTCAGTAAGGGGCTACCATGCAATGTCAATGGGTCAGAGTAAAGTCTGGGTGCTGGGAGGAGGAAAAGCAAGGATCTCCCCACTTTTGAATAAGCGAGTCTGCTGTTTGCCTTTTACCCCGCTCCCAATGTCTATGCTGTGATGCTGCACCTTCTCAACCCCTCTCCTGAGGAAGCCATTAGGGCCCAGCAACACTACACCACGAACTGGTAACCAAGTGCTCAAACATAGGAGCTGGTGGGGAAAGTCCACACCCAAAGCATGGTGGCGGGAGTAGGGGTGGGGGCGGCGGGGTGTCAGACAAGCTCCAGAAGGCCCAGCTGAAGTATCAGATGTTTTCGGAGAATAGATTAGTGTCAGCCTGTTTTGAGGGAAAATATTTGATCTAAGAATTTTATATACATCTAAATGATCATCTGTGTGCAAAAAAGGCAAAGATATTTCTGTACTGACAAAAGTTAAAAGAATTTGTAAACATGAAAGTAATATTATCCTATATAGGCAAAAATTAACATACAGTTACATTAAAAAAAAAGATCCAGTGAGATACCTCAGAGGGGAAGGATCAGCTACATAAATGTGACCCCCTGAGTTCAATCCCTGGAGCCACGGTGGAATGAGAGAATCGGTTCCCTCAAGTTGCTTCCCCTAGACCCTATTGGAGAACTCAGGCATGCGCACAAAGCAAACAAACAAAAAACTATCATAACAATAATAGTAAAATAACAAATGATGTCCACAATGAAACCCTCTGCAATCATCAACCAGAGGACAGAGGGGTAAATCGAAACCCAGAATCTAGGATCAGGGAAATCTAAGGATTGATGATAAGTAGTGAAGTCACTTTGAGAAAATAGTTCTGTAAGTGTTCAATAACAATGAAAATTATGAACCAAACACTGAGAATTCCAATAAGTAAGGAAAGAGCACATTAATTGCTTATTATATGCAAAATAAAACATGGGAAAGGGTAAAAGATATTACTAACTATGAATGCCCACTAAATTAAAATAATAAAAATGAATCTTTAAAATGAATGTGGAGATCATTGTCTTTGGGTAAAATCTTTTGGTGGATAAATGTGACAGACACTCATATTTTTCTTTCCCCCCATGCATTAGGCATAGAGGAGAATGGAGAAAGAAGACAGTCTTGGTGCAGAAGTTTATGTTGTCTACCCACCTACCCACTGCAAAAGTCAGAAATCACGAGGCTTGTTTTTATTTTCCATGACAAACATATACAATGGAAACAGGCGAATTGTCAAGCAGCTTTTCAGAAGCTTTGAGCCAACCCTTCTTGGAATCAACCGTTATACTCACAGAGACTTATCTGAAAAACTTTCAGGTCATGAATGGAGACAACAGCAGGTTATATTGCCTGTGTCCCAATAAAAATAAAAACATCATCAGATGGCTTCTCTTTGTTAACTTGTGATTGTAAAAATTTACCAGGAATGTTGCGTTTGTACTAATCACAGAAGAGAAAAAAGCATGTCTTTTATTATAATCTGTGTGTGTGTGTGTGAGAGAGGGGGGGGGAGTACATGTGCAGGTTCGTGTGAGTGTACACTATGGTGCGTGCAAGTCAGAGGGCATGCATGGGGGTCAGTGGACAGCCTCGGGTGTTGGTGACCACCTTCTACCTTGAGACATTGCTTTTGCTCACCACTGTTTACCAGATGGACTGTGCTGGGGGCTTCAGGGGAGTCTCCTACCCTGCCTCTCATGTAGTTATGCTGGGACTATCCTCCAAGCCAGCTCCCAGCCCAGAATGAATGAAATGTGTGTGTGTGTGTGTGTGTGTGTGTGTGTATACATACTTATTTCATACATTTTAAAAGATGATGTTCATTAAGCAAGGTGTCAAAATTTATTCTTAAAATTTTTTAACGCCACGATGTGCTAAACAACAGCTTTGTACCGTCCAACTTATTAGGTTATGCACCAATTTTTCTTCTATCAAGCAAGAGAAAACATCCAAATGAAAGTTGAGCAAACAGGCAGCTCTTTCGCAGAGGAGTGACTAGTTAATTGACTTAAGATAGCAGGTCACCCAGAGGAGGGACAGGATCCTGCAGCAGGCTTTCACAGATGACCCTTCTCAGAGTTAACCTTTGTGCTCATGGAGAATTTTCTGAAAAATTTCCAAGGTATGAATGGAAATCAGAGCAGATTGCATTACCTACATCCCGAAGGTCAGAGGTTCTGATTACTGAGGTAATGAAACTTCAGCGGGCTGCTTCAGGTCTATTAGGTTTGTCAGCTTCTATAAGCACGCTGACTTCAGGAATGCGATGATATCACCGAGGATGTCCGCGAGCAGGAACATAACAGCCACATCTTCACTTTAGTATTCAAGCATCACAAGGTGTGTGTGTGTGTGGGGGGGTGACTACATTTATGGGCATGCTCTTAAGATGAATTGGTGAGCAAGGTGGAGCAAGGAGGAAGAGTAGAACGGGTGGAAACACACACACACACACAAATAAATGCAACTTCAGATAAAACCAATTTTTCTTGAAGATGTAACAGAAGGTAAGTATAAGATCAATTAACTCAAAATATCCCATTAAAATAGTTCAAATTATTCTAATCCAAATGCCACAGATCATTAAAAACCAAGAAACATGGCAGGGCAGTGGTGGCACATGCCTTTCTTTAATCCCAGCACTCAGGAAACAGAGGCAGGCAGATATCTGTGAGTTCGCAGTCAGCCTTGGTCTACAAAGGGAGTTACAGGACAGGCTCCAAATCTACACAGAGAAAAACCCTGTTTCAAACAACAACAACAACAAAACAAAAAAACCCAAATAACCAACTGACCAAACAAAGAAACCAAAAAAAAAAAAATCCAAACTAACAAAAGCCCTAGGAATTTTTTTAAATGAATTATTTGATGGAAGCATAGATCAACACAGTGGATTCTCTTATACATAATGTCCCTCTGGCCTCCACACCCCAGGCTTGGTTCCCAGCCTCTGGTAGTATTGGGATACAGGGATCCCTTGAAGAGCTGGTACCCGGTAGGGGTTACTTAGTTGACTGGAGCATGCTGGAGAAGAATCTTTGGGCATGGCCTTTCTTTCTTTCAACACACCTTGAAAGGCGGTGTTGAAGGCACAAGAACCTGGAGTACCACTCCCAGAACCCACATAAAACCTGGGCATGGCAGTGTCTGCTTCTGATGGAGTACAGGGAAAGCGGAGGTAGAGTTAGGCTGATCCCTGAGGCTTGCTAGGAAATTAATGAGTTCAAGGACAGTGGGAGAAACACCCAGAAGAAGCCTGCCTTTGGTGGACCTCTGGCTTCTACACACACTTGCCCACATACATGTGCTCCTGGATACGAGAACATAAGCACATCTGTATATGCGAATGTTGGTGGAGGCTGCTCATTTGTTTCCCAGCTGCCCAGACCCAAAATAATCACACAGAAACTATGTTACTTGCAATACTCTTTGGCCAATAACTTAAGCTTACTTCTAGCTAGTTCTTATATTTTAAATCAACCCATTTCTATCAATCCATATATTGCCACGTGGTTGTGGCCTAGGTAAGGTTCTATCCTTCCATCTGTCATCTGTCTCCTGCAGTGGCTACTTCTCACTGACTCTGCCTACTTTCTCCTAGCATTCAGTTTAGTTTTACTGCCCAGCTCTATTCTGCCCTAACACAAGCCAAAGAAGCTTCTTTATTCATTAACCAGACACATTCATAGCATATAGAGGGAATCCCACATCATGTGAACATATATGCACATAGCTTTGGCGCCTTCACTTCCTGTTAGTGTGCCATGGTGGTTTGAATCAGAAATGTTCCCCCACGATCTCTCAAGCATTTTAATACTTGGTGCCAGGTTGGTGGTGCTACTGGGGAGGTTTGGGAGGTATGGCCTTGCTGGAGAATTGGACTCCAATCCTCTGGACCCATCACCCCAAATAAACACTTCCTTCTCTAAGCTGCCTTGCTCGTGGTGTTCCATCCCAGTAACAGAAAGCAACACGCGTGCTAACACTCAGTGGAAAGAGAGACATGCAGAGTGTTCTTACTTGGTTTCTCCCATCTCACATCTATGGCTGGGTGGTTAAGGACGCTCATGGTGACAATGGCTCCTTTCTCTGGAAAGCCTGCTAAGGTGGTCACTGCCACTTCTTGGCTTGGTATAAAGCCCACCCACGCTGTTGTGCACAAAGAGATTATATTCGTACGTTGTAAAACTGAAGGTGTTATTAAAATAAACAAACAAAAAAGGCACTTAAGTTATGTTCTATAGAAGATGAAATGCATTGATCTTTTTTTTTTTTCTCACAAAATACAGGATTCTTTCCCACAAAATGTTCTGTCTCCTTTTCCTGCTAGGAAAGGCTTGCTTTCCTTTCTTCTGATACAAAACATGCCATTATCTCTGTAACTCTCCAGTCTCAACCAGAGCACCAGGAAAACAGTTTATTTGGAAGCCGTACGCAAATGTCAGTCTTTTAAGTAAACGCAGGTTATCGTTTTCCCTGTTCTTACTGTTTTCAGAAGCAGGGAGGATTATGGCTCAATTCGCGATGTAATTACAAGGCTGGCAGCCTGCCAGCACTCTGTCCCAATACCATCCAGGGAGTTTTATGCTCTTCTTTAGAGAAACTCATCCATTTTCAAAGATCAGATTCCGTTATCATTTTCCTATACCTCTTCTCTGTCCTTGGGATCTCACTGGCTGGCAGATAAAAGCTTAAAGGAAACCTCAACTGTGAGCAGAGTGCCCAAGACTGCCCCTCTGAGAGTTTAGTAACAGCGAGGTGTGCTGGGTCCCATTGATACGTTGAGTCACTACAGAGGAAATGGACCAACCCTTCGCCAAAGGAGAAACACGGATACAGAGCACGATAGGAACTTCCTGAGTACATGCTAAATTGTTAATTCTTTATCTCTTTGGGTTTTCCAAGCAGGAACCCAGTGGCTTTATCTTTTTGGTTCAAACTTGCTGGAGAAGGAAAATGCTATAGGTAGACAAATCAGGCCCTGACTCTTTAACAATCTGTATGGAGATACTTGCTTAGTGGCTGACCCAACTTTGGCTTTAGATCTTCTTCCAATGTGGGGTCATACATGTTCCCAGGGTATCCAGCCGCTGATGCCTTCAAAGCCAGGCCCAAAGTCTCAAAGCTAGTCACCAAAGGCAAGAGTGCTATTTCCAGAAACCTCACTAAATCGCAAGGGGATGTTGCACATAACAACAGGGAGGGGGCAGGAGTGTTGGTCCCCCAAGCACAGGCCGGGACCATCAGAAGTTAGAAGAAGACTGCTTTCTGAAGCCTCTGGGGGGAGCTTGACCTCAGAAACAATTTGTTTGGTGACTTTAATTCTGAGAGCTGTAAGCAAGGACCCTCTCTTTGGGCTTGTGTTGTTTCTGGCCACCCAGCGTGTGGAACTTGATGTTATTACTGGGAAGACACCTGTCTATGTACTCTTCACTGAGAACTCACCAGCCTGCAGGACCAAGGCCACTGAAAGGCGACAGCCTTGGCAATTTCCTGTGACCCAGATCTTTCTACAACCCTATAAAGCACTATTATAGTATGGATTTTAAAAGTGAGGCAAATAAGGTTGGAAATATTAAAGAGCTTGTCCAGTTCATTGGACTCTTTACAAGAGCTGAGATTCAAATGCAGGAGGCCTGACTGAAGACATGCTGAACAAGGCTGCTGCACTGGGTACTGCCAGTGTGATGGGAAAGTAATAATAATAACAATAACAATCCAGGGATAATCTGCTCTGCCCCTGTTGGGATGATGCCACATGACTGGGCCTTGACCTTCGGTACCTCTCTAGCTGAGGGGAGGGGCTGATTTACCTCTGCATCCAGACTGCCTGCCCAATTTCCTCTGTGACCCCAGGATGAATGGGAAGGGTGGTGAGTCGGGGTTAAGTGGGTGGCGGAGCTGAGACAATAGAAGGAAGAGAAGCTAATGGCTCCCGTGGGAATTGAACCAATGACCTTGGCTTCATTAACTCTGTCCCTGGGTAAAATACTTATAATTGTATTTCAAGTCATAAAATAGTCTGTATCTGAAGACCAGAAGCTGAATCTTCTCCACTACAGTGCTTGAGCGTTTCTTCCGTATGTTGATGCTACTGTACAAGTGACAACCTTTGTGACTCCAAATGACACTTTGGTTCAGCCTTTGCTGTGTCAAGCTAATAGCACTGATATTTTTCTTCATGTACAAATTTTTGAGGGCCTGCCTCCCATGATACTTGTAGGAATTTTATCATAATTTTATACAATTTAGGTAGACCAGGTAATATATATTCCATATACACAATATATTCCACACACACATATATAATAGATGGAACATATATATCTGTACATACATACATGCATGCATAATACACACATATAGATATAAAATAGATGGAGCACAGAAGGCATAGACCATATGGATACATGTCACTGAAAAGTGGGCTTTCAAGATGGTACTAAAACTTCTCAAGTAGACCTGCCTTTAGAGCTCATCTACTTCAAATATTTAAGTGTCTTCTCCATTTTAGAGATTAAAAACCAAACCCCAGGACACTTAGAAATGAAACGGGTTCACCTAGGTTTGCAGAACAACTGTCTGTGCTCAGGGAACCTCTCTGTGTCTTCTGAGGACTCGGTCTTTCGAATACCCATTGCTTCACTTATCTGAGAGGTCAGTGTGCATTCATGTGACACCACATGTTTGCCCTTTATCATTTCTCCAACTTTAAAAAAGAATTGTGAAGATTTTCAATATATGTGTGTTTTCAGGTGTCCTCAGAGGCCAGAAGAGGGCATGGGATCCCCAGGAGTTGGAGATACAGGCATTTCTGGGCACCCTGACATGGAGGCTGAGAAACAAACTTAGGTCCTCTGTCAGAGCAATCAGTGCTCTTTCCTGCTGAGCTGTCTCTTCAGTGCCACATCTCTCTAACTTGTACTAAAAATCTCTTTCCTACTAAATGAAAAACTAAAATGTGCAGTTTTTAAGGCAAAAACATAATTTAAAAAAGTTAAATCCCTGTATTTCATGTCTGTGTTTTTAACCCTGTATATGTGTGTGTGTGTGTGTGTGTGTGTGTGTGTGTGTGTATGCAGAAATGAACACAGGTGCTGTACCTTAGGAGGAGGAGTTGGCCCCCACAGATCTGAAGTTACAGGAGGATGTGAGGTATCTAACACGGGTACTGAGAACCTAACTCAGCTCCTCTGCAAGAAGGCTCCACGTTTTTAATCCCTGAGCCATCTCTTTGTCTACAACAAAAGCAAACTTTACTTCGTAATGGTATATTCCTATAACTTGTCTACATATCTCTGTGGCTCATATTTCAGCCCTACACATACAGAAGGATGAGTTAGCTGTCCGAAAGTAGCTTTTCTATTCACTATCTGCACTGTCTTTGTAGTGAACTTAACGGGTGGTGCCAAACGGGCATTCCACTCAACAACATAAAGCTTCCCTAAATAGAATGGTAGGTCAGTTGGTACCATGTACCCACAGCAAGACCTATCCCAGAAGACCCCTGCTCCAATAGCAAATGAAGACTCTTAGGTGACACATACGATGATGATATTTTCCTCTGTGCAAAACAGCACAGGTTAAGAATTTGTGGAAAAATTCTCAGTTCAAGGTCCAGCTATTCGAACTCAAATAAAAAAAAATTCTGTTTAGTTGGGAAAAAAAAAAGCGCCCATTAGATTCTGTCTAGTTGACGCAGGCTCCATCTGCTTATCTCTCAGTTACTTGTGGGGACAAACAGGTGTTCATAGTTCCCAAATCAGTCACCCTCACAGATTTCAGGGCACATGTGATTTGGCAGGTCAGACACAAACATATTCATGTCCAACAGAAAAATGATCCCTACTGAATCTCAAAGCAGTTTTTGAGTAAAATAGACTGAAAACAAATAGTATTTGCCATAGTGAGCAATGCCACTCCAATTCATTCATTTATTCAAACCTTATTTCCAACAGTCTAGCAGTCTCGATCCAAAGAATAAGGAACTTGCCGTCTGTTCTCTTAGAGCCAAAGCCAGTGTGAGCTCTGAGGGACATGCTTTCTGTTGTTTATGTAAGCATGTGGACCCAGGGGATGGGGGCTGAGGAGTCCAGAAATGGGAGTTGGTGCCTTTCTCAGTTCCTCTCCACCTTAATTTTTGAGATAGGGTTGCTCATTGGAACTCTTTGGTCTGTCTAGATTATCTGGTCAGCATATCCTAGGGATTCTTTTCTCTTGTCTCTCTTGTGCTAGGACTGCAGGCAAAGGCTGCCGCACCTGGTTTATGCACGGACTCTGGGGAATCTATATCTGGTCCTCACATTTGTAAAACAAGGGCTTTACTTAATGAGTTGACCTCCACCCCCATGAGAGTGTTTTGAAATGAGAAAATTTAGACTCTGTTTACCTAAAATTTACTTTTTCCCTTTTCTCGTTGGATGCAAACGAGTGAGACCATAAAGTTTAACCTCACCAATGAGGAGGTGTGATTTGGTCTAGCTTTTGATGTCACGTGGTATTTAGTCTGGTGGAAGCATTGGTCCAGTGAAAGATATTTTGGGTCAAAATGTGTACATTGAAAAGCTCTGATGCCTCTGGCTAACTGATAAAAGTCTTCTTCAATATAGCTGAGACTGACTTGGGTTGTTTTCATCAGAATCAAATCTGTGTCAACTTTATTGACATCCCAACAGAATTCAAGTTTCAATATTCTTATCACTATAAACAATGCCCTTGAAGAGTCGGTCAGGTTAGCTGCTTCCCATACTGAGTCTATGTCATCTCTGCCACAAACAAAAGCTTGCTTGGATAGTCTCTCTCTCTCTCTCTCTCTCTCTCTCTCTCTCTCTCTCTCTCTCTCCTCTCTCAATGGTTCTGAGAGGCCTCAGCTGAGTCTCAGCCCTTGGCATGCTTGTGGGAACAAGGAGATGCACTAACAAATGACCCCTGCCCTAAGATAATTACAAAGACAAAAAGTACTTTTGTTTGAATTAAATTATGTAGATAACTGGCTTGATGACCTGCATTCTATAATACGATATAGAAGACAAAATTACTATGAGGGAGTCTTGAATTTCAGGATATAAAAATTGCATAGAAAACTATGCCATTGCTGTCTAGACTCTTTTTCTCTATATCAACATACACATTTAGTAAACAGACCACTTGAACAAGGCAGTAACTCCGACTTCTTTTCAATGTCATAACTATTTATAAAGGGAAGCCCAGACATTCTTTGCTGCACATTTTGTATCAGAAGAATTTTCACTTCAACACTGTTCTAAATATGTCTATAATGATAAAAATGAAACAAGATGGGTGTGGTGGGGTGACTGTAGAGAAGGCTTAGGGGTTAAAACACTGGTTGCTCTTCCTGATGACCTGGGTTTGATTCCCAACAACCCCATGGTGACTTACAACCAGCTGTGACTGTAGTTCTAGGAGACCTAGTGCCCTCTTCTGGACTCCATGGGTACTGTATGCATGTGGTGCACAAACATCCATGCAAGCAAAACACCCATACATATAAAATAAAAATGTTTTAAAAAGATGCGATAAAACACTTCAGTGCTCTACTTATTTATGTAAATAGGCGCAAAGTGGGAACAGAGAAATTTGGGGAGAATAGGCAATTATGTATGCCTTCCAAAAGAAGATGGATTCAATTAAGAACTACAAAAAAACAGTCAAATGGATAAATCAATAGGATAAACAAAGTCAGCCTTCTGTGCCCCAGGGTTCCATAGCCTCAGATTCAACCAACCATGAACAGGAAATATTTAGAAAAATAACAGCATCTGGTACTGAACCATTTTTTTGTTCCCTAAACAACGCAGTGTAACATCTATCTGCCTTCACACTGGTCTGAGCATTGTAAACAGTGCAGGGATGACTGAAGCCTATGCCAGCCTGTGATCAGCTCTATGCTAGCTAATACTTCATAATTTCATATCCACGACTTTAGCATCCATGGTTTTTATTATCTATGGGGCCAAGGATTTGCAGTGGTCCCGAAGGTAATTCCCCAGATTCCAAGGGAACCTAGGTAGGTCCAGGGGAAAGGTTCATTATGGTGTCACAATATAGGGGACAACATTGGTCCTTTCTTAGTATGCTGGGAGCTGTGAATCACCTGTAAGAAGGGAAGTCCTGGCTGCTATCATGGCAGATGAAGTAGCCCCTGTGCAAGCAATGTGTGCACTCATCCCTTTATCAGGAAAAACCCGAGCCCATGGGAGGGCTAATTCCCAGCTTCCTCTCCGAATGGCAAGATGGACGGCCCACTTTGTGCAGACAGGGGTGGACTAATAAAAAAAATAAAAGGAAAAGTCTCATATTAAGATGACTGGGCCATATGTTTTGAATGTTAAGAAATGGAAAACACATCCTGAGTTTTAACCCCAAGTTGTTTATGAGAGTGTAAGCAATTATTAGGTAACTGAAGATGACCTTGAACTTCTGGCCCTCTTATTGCTACCTGCCTGTAGACCCTGTATATTCTTCTTACATGGGACTGAACCTGTGACTTTCAGCAAGTCAGACAAGCAGTCTGCCACCTGAGCTTAGACTCCAGCCGCTTGACTCCTTGAATAAAAACAGAAACCTCCAAATCAAATTTCCTTGTGGGGACAAAAAATCCTGGACAATTAGCCTCATGTAGCTACTTAGATCCCACACCACATTTTTGTTTATCTGCACAATCCTTCTAGAGATAGCTGCCATGGGAATGTTTATTTCAGCTCATATTCAGACCAGCAAGAGTGGGGACAGGCAGCTTCCTGGAGGAAGAACTTTCTAAGCCAAGACCTAAAGTGTAGGTGATACTGATGAACGGAAGGGGCCTGATGAGGAAAGGATCAGAGATGGGAATTCTTCACATTGTTCTTCGTGAGCACAGTGAGAGAGTCTGGGACACAGAAGCTGGAGGGATGAGGGACGGTTGGTAGTGGGGCTCAGACAATAGTCCACATATTTTGAAACTTCAACACATTGCCTGGACCAAGAAAATGGAGAAATAATTGGATCTAGGGAATGGCAGATGATATAGTTGGAGCCCCAGAGATGGTGAAGGGTTTGTCTCAGCTCATAAAGCTGGTTCCTTAGCAAGAGATCAAAGAGTACTTAGATCTAACTCTATCATGTAGTATTGTTTTGGCGGCTATCACCTACTGGCCCATGGTTTAGTTTTAAACTCTAGATTCAACTCTTTCAAGTCTCACTAATTCAGTGACTTACAACCCGCTATCCCCTAAACACAGGTGAATATGGGAGGCACCCACTGATTTCCACAGTTCCGGGTGTATTCAATTCTTCCAAATTCCATTACTAAGTTTCATGTCTAGATAGAGATGTGACAAAGGCAATAGGTTGGGGCTCACACATCGCCAAGTTTGACTTGAAAGACTTATTGCAAGCACACAGTTGAGATGGCAAACACTCAACACGCCTCGGCTATACTTCAATGATAAATGCCACAGATAATAACTGAACATATTCTACCGTGTGACTGATAACAGGTTCACACTACGAACACTCTGGGGTACCTTGAACTACTCCACACACCCCAAACTAAATGCCAGTATTTGTTTTTATAGTTTTTGTAATCTCACCTGCTAAGACTCTTATCTTTGTAAAACCACTGAGTTCCTGAATAAATATTGTGCCACAGATTTAAATCTTCTGGGGGATTTGAAGCAAGTGGCTGCTGGATTTTGCGTCTCAGAAGCTCATATCTAAAACAGAAGACAAGCAGGAATATCATGATTGTCTCAACGAACATTATTACTGAGATTCAGATAGCTTAGTGGCATGTATATGACGCATGCATGAAAGCAGAAATAATACCCTAGTGCAATTATGAAATATTTCCAGATAAACACTTTTTCTTCCTGGTTTAGCTGTCATATAGTCTGCTAATTGCAAATTATCACATAGACTCACATGTTTTGATCACCAGTGGGATGGAAACAGTTTAGATTTCTGTGTCAGATTTGCTCAAGATCTGTTGCAAGTTTCACACAAAGTAGGACTATAAAAATCTTATCAAGTTAATGATTTCCTAAGACTCCATTAAAATTTTATAAACAATGATGATATTATCCACTCTGTTTCCTATGCCATGTATTCAGTTCTGGTGGCTGTAGAGCTATTTCAGAATCACAGTTCTTGGCTTCCATCTTTTTTTCGAGAAGGGAATACTCTTCCTAAGTCTCTAGACAGTGGTGATATGGAAATGACTGCATGGTTAACTTCATAATTCAGAGACACCACTGTCCTACCATGTTACACAGAACACACGCCAGAGCGGCCAAGCAGAATAAAATTAGTTTTTGAAAAGAGAAAAACAATGAGGGGAAATATTAGCTATGAGAGAAATGTTTTAAGGATTTTAGTTTGTCTCGATATGATGCTCACTCTTAGTCAAAGAAATCCCTTAATACAATGTGCTATTATACAAATGTTAAGAACAGAGGGATATTGTGTGGTTATTATGAGTTTGTAGGAGTATGTAAATATCTAGATGGCATTAATTTTATGTTGAGATGTTAGTGAAACCCTGCCTCCTTACTTCTTAGAATGACAAAGCTAAAACAAACTGCAGAGGAAAGTCCTTTCTCTTCTACCTCAAATTTGGTCCATTTGGCTTGAATGGTGGCTGCCAAGAAATCCCAACACAAGATTTGCTTAGTGGAATCAAAGACGATGGGGCCAGTTCCTGAGGCAGGGCTGGATGGGAGGTGACAGAGGTAGGGAGACTCTCCGTGCACCCTCGTAGGTACCCATTCCCTCTGGAGCAAGCACAGCAATTGTGATCAAGTAATTAGTGAAAGAGATGAGATGAGGTTCTGTTAGGGATCGTGATGAGAGGGTCTGGCATGCAGATCTCATAGCTCAGTATGTCTCCGTTCTGGAGGAATGGGGCTTTCCAAGTGACCTGAAATAAAAGACCAGGAGCATCAGTGTGACAACACAGGAACAGAGCAGTGATGTTCACAGAGTCTAGAGTTTTGCCTGCCTCCTTTGCCTCAAAGTCATTTTCTGAAGGTCCACATTCAACTTAACCCCATGCACTAGACAATAAGGAAGGACTGGGGACCATGAGCTGAATGCTAGGAACCCAGTGGGAGGTGCTTCCTGGGCTTGACTTTTAGCTGTGATGCTTTATAGAACCATCAGACTAATACCCATCCTGGCGATCCATCTCTGCCTTGGCTGCACAGGACACAGAGCAAGCACACGGAGGAAATTCACACACCCACATGCATTAGGGCAGCATGAGGACTTGAAAGTTTGCATGTTTATAACTCAGTTACATTGAACTCAGAGCTCCTAATTTTACCTTGTGGGTTAAAGAGGTTGTTTTACAAAGGCTGGGATGGGTGGCCATTATTTGTATGTTCTGACATTCACAATTGAATTCCTGAAGCTGGTGTACATTTTAACAAATGAAGCAATAATACATTCTAGTCTCAGGATAAGAACATGTAGAAAGCTTTTAAAACTTCAAAGGGTCGCTCTGTTTGAACAAGTTTCACATCAGAAAACAGAATAACATCTTATAAATTCCATCATACCAGATGCGACATTTCTCTCTACAGTTTACTAGAGCTTGGTGGACTAAGGTTCAAGGTTAGAGGCCCCTGATGGCTCTATAATAGAAAGTTTGTTGCTGCTGCACAGATACATACTTTGGTGATTTCTGCACTTTATTTTATTTCTCAGTTATTCTAAGTGTTTTACCATGGCAATCTGTACATTGGCTGAATCCTGTTTGAAATCCTTCTTTTAAATCTGATTTTACACTGCTTAATTATTTCATTAAGAAATGGCTTTCAAATCTGATGAGGTCATTTAAAATGATTGTTGTCATTTTGGGCTTGCCTGTGTGAGCTTCTGTACACCCCATGTGTCAGGTGCCCAAGGAGACCAGGTTGTATTGGACCCCATGGAAACGGAGTTTTAAGCAATTATGGGCTGCCTGATGTGGGTGCTGGGAACTGGAGTCCTTTGCAAGAATAGTAAGAGCTCTTAACTGCTGAGCCATCTCCAGTCGCTTCAACCCTTTTGGGTTAAAAAACTACAGGCTTTCTCCTTAATTGGTTAGTGTAAGAGGCATGATGAGAGACAGCAGGACATTGAACTTCCATTTTTGGAATTGGATCAAATTTGTCCCATTAGATTATTCTTTTGATCTTCTGCTTAATTCAATTTGCTAACATTTTATTCAGAAGTTTTAGATTGATATTCAAATATGAAATTATTCTATACCTTTATTGAACTATTCTTTTCAGTCTTAGTAGACACTGTCTACCACCCTTCAAGAAGGAAAGAGTCTTCTCAGGAAATTAAGTGCCACAGGGAAGTACACAGAGTTCATTTTTTCACATAATATAATTACTTGGAGTTTTCCTGATGGTTAGATTTTGAGAATATGAGTTAGACCTACCATGCCCTCAGTTTCCCTTAATACTTATGTCTTTACCAAGCCATGAGCAATTGTTTTTAGTAGTCAAGTATTAAGCTCAGAGCCTCGCACATTTCAGGTAAGCCCTCTACCCCCGAATCGCATCCTCAACTTCTTGTACATTTGTGACCGGGTTTCATTAAGTCACTAAATTGCCACAGAAGCCGGGGTAAGGCTTCAATTGTATCACCCTCATACAGGACTCTCTTAGATTTGGCTCACTTTCTACCTAGCAATGTGCTACTCTGTAATTGTCTTTTAGTTGGCTCACTTTGGTACTTCCCTTGCTGCCCCTGTTGGGCAGTAGCTCCTGCGGGTGGCATTGCACAGAGATAGCAGGGCTGGTGACATGGCTTGAATACAAGTCATCCCTCTGCTTACTAAGGAGAAATCTCACTAGAAAATACACTTGGGTAAAGTTTTAAGATATTCCCAAGTACAGTGTGAGCCAATAATACTAACACGAAACTGTGTTCTTTGAACATTTAAATATATATCATGAAACACTAGATTAAGTCCAGAATTCCTCATTTTTCCTAATTAAATAATGGGAATTGATGGCCAAAGGCACTACTTGGCTGTCATACCTCTGTGTTTCAAGATCTTTCTAAAAACTTGGGGCCCATATGTAGTGGTGTGCACCTATAATCCCAGAACATGGAAAGCAGAGGCAGGTAGGTCTCTTTGAGTTCAAGGCCAGTCTGGTTTACAAATTGAGTTCCAGGAGAGCCTGAGCTGTTACACAGAATAACCCAGTCTTGAAAAACCAACGAACCAATCAAAAATACTCACACACACACACAAAAAAAAAAAAACAACAAAACAAATCAAAACTTGACCTAGGGTTTCCATGGTTCTCTTGGGCCTGAGGTGATGACCCATGGGATTCAGCTCCCTTAGACAAGCTGATCTAAACTTCCCTACCAATCCGATAGGACATGGACACCCTACTCCCTTTCCTAGATGAAAGTGTCATGGCCCTAGAGGGGAAATAAAGGCTGACTAACTCCTTCCAGATATTGGCATCCTGGGGTGTTGACCCACTCAAGCAGACTGGCTCACTGTTAGCTTCTGAAATCACGCACACATTTATTTTTTTCTTTTTTGATATTCTACAATCAGTGATGTCTAATTTTTAAAATTTTGGCAGAAAGAATCAGAAGAACATTTGAAGTGTAGCTGCTGCCTCTGTGAAGGGACTGTGGGTGCCATGCCGCATGCCATCTATCAACGCTGCACCAAAACCCGCCCCGCAGAACTCTTCAGAGAGGTAAGGCAGTTCTGGAATGATCACTGATTCTGGGTTTGTTTGTTTCCTTTCTTTTCTTTTTTTTTCGTTGACTGAAGACAAGTTCTTATAATTTTTCGAGTTCATAGATTATCATATATGCTACATGTAAAAATTAAATTAATGTTACATCAATAGAATTCCATATGCTTTACTTGTTTTTCATCAAAATTGCATTGCTTTAACAATTCTCGGGTCAAAGATACTTAAGATTATTTTGGGTGTTCAATTTTCAAAGACTAAATAAAAAAATTGCTAAATGGTCACTTCTAGTTTGTGGGTTAAATGAATTTTCTTCAAAAAGTTAAATTATCTAGCGTCATCGAGTGCCTGCCTTTCGCTGGCAAGAGAGAACTCAGCCTGGATCCAAGCAATAATTCCGACAGACGAACTTTGCTGTTATGCAAATGCCCTCTGCTTTGTGCTCTGGTGAGCAAGCCACTGTACCGAGGCTTTTGGCAATGGTACAAGGCTGGATCCATGGAAGCATGTGTGTATTTACACAAAAGAGGCTTCTAAGCTGCAAAACTCCCTCCTGTTTGGTTACACTAATTTCCCTTGAATGAAGTTTGTATGCCAGCCAAAACAATGGTAGTTATCCCATCCTCTAGAGTTCAATCCCCAAAGAATGAGGCCAATAATTGAGCTTTCTGGATATCCCAGCAATATGCTATTTTCTTAATTTCTTTTCCCATTATTTCAACTCTTTGATTTTCTTTTCCAAAAGAGCACGGAATATGCGCGCGCAGAGCTTTTGTTTGTTAATCTGCTTCTCGGCGCTTCCATTAGTCTCCACATCGCTCCTCATTTCCCGATCTGTTTAAATATGACGTGGTCCTGAGGCTAAGCATCCCACAGTGGTATCAAAGTAGTTCATGTGTGCGAGGCAAATAGCAGTCTCTCAACAATATAATTAAGGGGATTCAGGGAGAAATGAAAAACTGACATTGAATTCCAGATAGTTTGGGCTAAAGGCCAGAAAGCCAGTTTCTGCAGCAATTGCCTCAGACAATGAATGTGTTAGTCTTGTCAGTAGATGGCTCTGTCAGACACAGAGTGCACACAGGGTAAGTCCCTACATCTGTAGGACCGAGCGAAGCCAGAATGCCCAATGGCTTACCTGACTGCATCTGGTCCCAGCAATGCACCCTGGGCAGCTGCACTCCTGCGCCCAATGGCTTACCTGACTGCATCTGGTCCCAGCAATGCACCCTGGGCAGCTGCACTCCTGCAGGCCGGGAGGGTATTTTTGAAACTTCTACCCAGCCGCTGCTTCTTGTGCCTCCATTAAGAGAGCTCCCCAGAACCCGGTATTCATATGGTGTCCAAGGGCTGAGGGTAGGATCCTTGTCAATAAATTTCATGGCATGACTTCTCGAGAGAGGTGACAGGCTCCTAATTTCCTCTTTCCCTTTGACTCGTCTCTCGATTGTAAAGTTTTCAGTAAAGTCACTGGGGTTGCTGGGGGATTGCCAGATACAATGACAGATGTTGGAGTGTCTGGAAACAGCTCTGGGCTTGGGATACCTTCGGTGTTCCTGGGAGTGTCCACACAGTCTGAGACTCTGGTGACTTGGAACACCCTTTGGAGGTACAGGCTTCCACCTGGAACTGATACCCCGAGGCCATGAAGTACAGACGGCCATGCCAGTACATACGATAATGGGTAATAGTCCTATCTCGCTTTACGGGCTGCTGCCAAACGATTGACTTCACTCTCGAGTTCACGTCCATAAGAACTGGAGGATCTACTGGCCCAGGCCCTGTAAAGAACACATCCAGGAAGTCACGGATCTTACAAACCTCGTGTATCCTCAACAGTAAAACTCAAATGAACAAGCACTTGGTGGAGACAAGAGGCAAACAGGGAAAGGGCGCACAGATGAGCAAGACTGCCCTCCCACGATGGTATGAGAAATACTTGTTGAATGTGACTGAGCTGACGCTGCCCTTTTCTTCCTATCATAGACCCAGCAAAACCATTTCTCTTCATTAGAGCTAATGCTGAAAAAATATCAAAAGGACTTTTACAATTATTTTAAATCAAGGCATTAGAAGAAAAACACACAAGCTGACAGTTTAACCAAAGTTCGAGAAGGCTGCGGCCACATTTTGCCCCCTGGGTCCCCAGTCCTGATTCTAACCAACATCACTACGGTAACAGACCCGTTGACAGCATTCCTCATCATACATTCCATAGGATGCTGCCTCTGTTTATCATGCTAATCCATGTTTTGCGATTTATCTACTCCCTGTTAATATTATCGGTGATTTTTTACTGTGCCTGTGACAGAGCTGACGACGATCCAGCTCCTTCACCTGCTGATAAATAAACAACGCACAGATCTGACCTTTAGGTTAACGGGTTTTACGTCTGCCCCACTCAGCACTCTAACTGATTCAATTATCATAAAGGTTCGGGAGGCCCCATGAATACTGAAAAAGGCCCACCATATGCCTGCAGAGGTGGTGGTGGGGGGCAGCAGGCACTCTGCAGCCCTCCAGAGAAATTCCTTAATTGTAAATAATTTCACCATGCGACACAATCAAGTCACCTTGAATGCGAATCCCCTCAGCCCGCGCAGGCAAAGTGTTATTTAAGCTTTACTGGGCTGCGTTAAATTCTGCAATTTGAAGGGCTGTTAAGTTTTTCAATTGAAATTTCATTTAAAATGCAGGTGCTTTTTATTATATCGCGGCTTTACTGCTCTCTAGGTACAAGCAGGAACATGGCGCAATAACACAAATCTGGCTCAATCACTGATCAGTAACAGCTGTAATTCCGGGACGTTTAGCATTCTTATAAACCATGGCCTGAGATCTATAAATTGCTACAACAGATCAAAAAAAAAAATACTATAGCCCTCTTTTCTGCCCACAGCAATTTTGGCATTTATGAGATTTTTTTTTCTGTGAACATTAGATTTTATTGAAAATCTTTTAAAAAGATATAGTTGGATTTAGTAATTGTTTAAAACAGCATTGATTTGAGTGTGAATGTGCGATTCAGTATCCCACTGAGGGCTAAGTGTTAAAGGTAGCCATAGACTTGTGAAGCCAGTGGCTGTGGCAATAGCTATGTAAGGGATGTTTCCAAACAGAATGGGCTACGTTTTAGTCACCAACTGAAGTGCTGATGATAGAATCAAAATTCGTTTTGTGAAGGGACCTAAAATCAAGCTATTTTTGACAATCTGGTCACCCACCCTTTGTGGGGAGAGAAAGCCTAGCATCATGGTGACGTTGGTGTGGGCATTCCCCAGGCTGGCCTGTTGTTAGCCTTCACTTGAAAGCCGTCGGTGACATTTCTTCTCGCCTCGCCAGTGCATGGTTCAGAAGCAATTATCATACCAACATGGGGATACGGCTCCTTTCTTAGCTGGCCATGCCATGCATGTTTAGTTATTCCCAGAAAAATCTGAGCGTCTTACAAGCTCTAAATGTTTTGCAATCTAAAAAAAAAAAAAACCCTCTGATATGGGAGCTTGTAAAATCAACTGTGGAGATTCGAGTCTTTAGCCTAACCTACCTCACCCCCTCTCCTCACTAAAGAATAATAAATGCTTTAAAAAGCCAGAATGTTTTCCAGCGGGTTTTCATCAGGGTCTCGCATAATGATTCCCTCCTCTGTGAGCTATCACACTGCGGAGCTTCTTCAGGGAAAAGCACCAACAAGGATGCAGTTTGTTCTCTGTGATGAGAATGCAGCCTTTTATTTCTCCTGAAGACGCTGATGGTGTGATAGGTAAAACATCCATGATAATGAGTCGGACTTACTTACACTTCAAACTCCCACAGAACACAGCCCTTCCTTAAAGACGACCTCTTATCTTGGGAAGAGGAGACATTCAATTTCAATTTCATGATACCCCCACCACACACCCCCAGAGCCAGAATACATCTTATTAGCTTCTCTCTCGGGAAAGCCCAGCACACTCCCTGCTTCCTCTGCAGAAAGTCCTCTAACGCATCCTGGAGAGGAACAGAAGGAACAGAAGTAAGCTTAATTAGCTCCTTTGGCTAGGCAAGTGTTAAAACCTGACTTCTGGCACTCGTTCAATTTGGAGCTTTGAAATGATAAGCAGGATCATCTAATTCTATATACAAACCAACTGTCCTGCTACTGCTCAGTTGAAAGGGTCACCACAATTATGTAAAACATGAGTAATAACTATAATTGGGGTAGTTGGCTAATACAATAAAAAGCCGTGAACACGAGGAAAGTTACGCTCGCCGCAGTAGCTATCACTCTCTAAAGTAAGAATTCATGGGTGAAATGACATGAAAAAGATGGTTATAAAAGTTTAATGGAATGATAAAAGGCAAAAGTCGGCCTCTCAGCTGAATTCGTAAAATCCCTATACATCACGATCAGCTCCTTAACTGTAAAATCAATGTGGACTAGAACATGTTGTCAATGCCGCTGTCACTCGAGGGGAGATGGGGAAGTCTGGCAGGCACACAGCTCAGCCGCCCAGTGCTGGAGACTTAAGGCAACAGCTCTCTCAGCGGGTGTAACAGTCTAGAGCACAGCTCCCTGGAGCCAGGAACTGAGTCTCCTCTCTGGTCGAGCTACAGACTGCTGTTTCAAGGTAATCTGAGCATTCACAGCTGAAAGCGGTCTTATTTTGGTGAAAGGCATGATCTTTGTGGGTAACTGCCTGCCTCACACATAAGGTTCAGCCCCAGCCCAAGAGAAAGTCATGACCTTGATGGGAAATGGCCTTGCTATGTTAATGTCAGGTGTGCACACTGGCGAGTGCGCAGGCTCAACTCTGTCTACGGCTCCTAGTTCGAGGATACGTGTGATGTTCGGCAGTTTGGGATGAAAAGTCTTTCACACTTGTTTGCTGTGGTGGATTGATTTTCCTGTTACAGTCTCAAATGTTGTCCTCAAGCTAATATTTTACCATTCTCATAAAAAGAACCTCGCCTGGTTTAAAAACTCTTTTCAGTGATATTAACTCCTAAGTGAATAGCCTCTAAATTTCCCAGTGAATTAAAAACCATGGGGGTGGGATGCGGACTGCCCTTAGACAAAGCTCTGCATCACACTCCAGACGTTAAGGTAGCCATGCTATTCATCTCTGATGCCGTAGCTGAGAGAACGGCAACCTGTCTTTTTAATCATGAATTCTTTCGTCAATTTATTATTTATACCCAACAACTTCCCCAAAGAATTTTTGACAGCTAATAATAAAAGAGCCAAATGCAAGAAGACCAACAGAATAAAGAGAAGGGAATATTCATGTGGTAATAATGAAGATGGTGCCATGGCATACCCCCAAACAAATATGCAGAACTTGAGCTAGCTGTGGGCTTGTCCAGTGTCAACTCCCACCTTCCCTGACTGCGAGGGAAAAGCCAACACCGTGTTCTGGGTTTAATGGCAGAGCAGCAGCATTCCAGCCATCGCTGAAGTGGAAAGGGCAGCGCTGCCCGGTCTGTCAGTAAGAGGATCACTTCTGAAGACCTTCCGTTCCCTGTTCTCCCAAGACCAGGAGGAGTGGAGGTCAGGAGGAACGGCTGCTCATCTAGACCTGGGGCAGGGGATGAGGAGATCAGCAGTTCATCCTTCTTCAGGGTAGTTCCTCGAACAGTCCAGGGCTGCAAATAAAATGTGCTGTCTGGCATGAGAAGCAGCAAAATCCCACAGCGTAAATATCTACTGGTCAGAAATGCAGCCGGCTGCTCAGAAGAGGCTACTCCCGGGTCACACAGGTGTAACCAACCCAGCAGCTCACATCACAGGGTTCTTTTCCTCACCGCCACTGACTGCTCTTCCAGACCATGGCCCTCCTTTCCAGATTCTTATTTAATCAACCCTGGAAAACTGGGTTTTATCCTGGGATTATGATCAAATTGAGTGAGATGTTGTGATTAAAAGAACCTATGTAGAGTTTTAGTGTTCTAGAATGTTCCTGATAGATAGAAGGGTGTAGGGGTGTGTGTGTGTGAAGAGAGAGAGAGAGAGAGAGAGAGAGAGAGAGAGAGAGAGAGAGAATCTACTGAAAATGACACAAAGCCCCTACCCTTGTTAATGGTCAGTGGGCTGCAGGTGTGGCATTCAGATGGGCAGATCTTAACCCTGGCTGTTTAACACACACATGTGGTTGTTACCAAGAGATCTTCTAACAAAGTCCACTGTGAACTTTCCAACATGGATCATCTAAGAACAAAAACACTTTAAAAAAATTGTTGACATTATTCTACAGATAGCGATCTGGTACAGAATAGTCTCTTAGTAAAGACAAACCCATAGCAGTAAGGCAACTGTGATAAAAAAAAATACTTATTAATTTCTTAAACTAAATGTAGGAAAGGCTGGAGAAGCCTGGGCTGCGCGTCAGGTCAATGTGTGGTTTGCGTCGGAAGGATGTAAGGAATAGTGCAACTTGAGACAAACTTTGCAAGAGCAGCCTGCTTTGTGTGCTCAAAGGGGATTCAAGAACCCACGAGAGAAACTGAGGCCAGATGGACCCAATTTTCTGTTATTTAGTCCATCATTTTAAAGAAACTTCTGTTAGCAACTTGACTTGGACAAATTCAATGTTAAGATTATACAATAACAAAGAAATACAATAAAATAGTTGCTCCTACTAATTACAAAAATGTAAGAATTTGGGTCAGTGATCTATGCAATAGAAAACAAAGCTTACAGGGATGAACATGCAAAGCCTTCTATTTTTAAGGATAGAGAAGCAACTATGGATTTCTGTGGCTGGAGAAACGGCTCAGCAGTTAAGAGCGCTAGGCTGCTCTT